TCTATCTATCTATCTATCTATCTATCTATCTATCTATCTATCTATCTATCTATCTATCTATCTATAATAGCTAGCTAGCTATTATGTACATCTTGTGTTTATATTTAAAAAGAGAAAGCTCATTTTAAGCTTAGAGTGATATCTCAAGAGCTACAAAAGAGGAAACAAAAATACCAGAGGTCAGGGTAACAATGCAGACAGTTTTATTATTTTTTTCTTTTATTATAAAGGGGCTAAATCTATTTTAGATTTTGTAGGTCTCTGACTTTAAAATTGTAGGAAATTACATCAACTTCAATTACATTAACTTCAAGTGAAGCATAACATAAGACGCATAATAGGGTACTCCAGCAGTTCCAGAAAAAGTTTGGGGATGTAGGTTATCCATCTTTGCTTTAAGAAAAAGCAAAGGCTTCCTTGATTAAGTTCAACTTTTGATGATTTTATAGGTTAAACATTATCCTGTAGTGAGGTATACACATTATTCTGTACTTTGTCCAACTGGTAGTGTACTAGATCGTGCAAATCCTATAAATGTATGTGAATCCTTCTGGATTAGGTACCGATTACTCAGTTTCTTGACCTGGAACATCTAGAAGCCTTCTAGTGATGATACCATTTAGAAGCAACAAGGGCAAAAAAGTCCATTTACTCAAATGTAGGAGATTGAGGATGGATATGACAACTTTTTGATTTGTTTTCAGAGTCTTCTGCACACCATTACTATTTTTAAATCAACCCTCACTACTCCAAAACTGAAAATTAAGGAAAAACCATGCCAGTGAAATGGATAATTTTTCTGCTTAGTGTTGATTCCATGTTTTCAGCAGCTTTCCAGGAGTCAAGAAAAAGAGAGTGAGAGACCACCTACTCCTGGGTGGTCTTTGGGTATGAATTCAGCTAATTGTGGTTTATGAAATAAAAAACAGTAATGTTTAGACATAATCTGCATTACCTTTGTACAGACAAAGCTATAATACCATGTTGAGTTGTGTCAACAAACTAAACAACCCATATCAGGTTAACATGAAAATGCACCTATAATCACCAATTACCTTCTCTTTGTCACTGGCTTCACGGGATATGAGTGAACCCTAAAAAAAAGGCAAGAACATAAAGATTACAGTCTAGAAAACATGAGATAAGGTGTGTATTCTTGGAGCATCTTTCAAATTAAAGAGTTAACATAACTCAAAATTATTTAAAAATGGAAGGGAAATGGGTTCATAACATCAGAAACCTTAAAATCTCAATGGACAGTGAAGAGCAGTGGTGGGATGCAAACATTTTTACTACTGGTTCTCTGGGTATGGCTTGGTGGGCGTGGCAAGGGAAGGATACTGTAAAATTTCCATTCCCTCCCCACTCCAGGGGAAGGTTACTGCAAAATCCCCATTTCCTCCTGATCAGCTGGGACTCGGGAGGCAGAGAATATATGGGAGCGGTGCAAGTCAGAAGTGGTATTTAGCAGTTCTCCGAACTAGTCAAAACCTGCTAAATACCACCTCTGGTGAAGAGTTACGTTAAACCTTCCAAAGAACTGCCAATAGCAGATCATATATTTATTAAATAAAATCATCATAACCACAGTCAATTTAAAAAATAAAGATAAACGTTTCCCCTGTCCAGTTGTGATTGAATCTAGGGGTCGGTGCTTATCTAGGTTTCCTGGCAGAGGGCGAAAGCATTGTCCAAAAACATTTTCATGGTCATACGGCTAGCATGACTATAGGCGAAGGTGCACAAATTAAAAAATATAAATTACAAATCGCTTCATGATTAATGCTATCATTTTAGGTGGCAAGGAAATTAGTAAGGAAATTTCTCATTTTTCTATAACCTCTTTTACCTGTATCTTCCATTTATTTCATCCGAATGCTTCAATGCTATTGGCTGTTATTTCCTGACTGGATGGTTTGAAGGAGGAGGGGAAGAACCTTTATGGTGCTTTGCATAGTGGTTTTGTATTCTGCCTGCAGGGTATGTGTGTGTGTGTGTGTGTGTCCTCCCTTCCCCCTCCAATATTTGAAGCAAGTATGTCCTAGTATTTAATGAGATGGTTACAGAGGCTCCACGGTTGACCAGTCATTTCTTGGTACCCAGAAAAATATGCGCACATATAGAGACTTTAATGCCATTTTTGACAATAGGCCTACCACGAATTCATAGCAAAACTGTCTTTAGCAGGACAAACAATGTAAGAGTAATACTGAATGGGCAAAAGTTTTCAACCATTTCCTGAACACATTGGTTTACATTTATTTTTGGCATATCAGCAGATCCGAAATGGAAGGTTTGCAGCCTAAAAAACAACGGTACACAGTGTAACACTTTCACGATACAGATTAATCACATCCTTTATTCAATCGGAACATATGTGGCAGGCATTTTTTTTTACTTAATAGAAGGAAGAGAAGAAACTGGGAAAACATGACTTAATTAAAGCTACCCAGAGGCTCTTAATGAAGCCAGCATATAAACCTACACCTCACCCCACTGAGTTCTAAAACCTTGGTGGATGGATTTGTTTTGTTTTTAACTTTTTTTAAAAAAAAAAAGACTTCAGCAGTCAAAAAGGAAGCTTGCCTTGTCAGAAATTCAACATGCTATTGTTGTACCACCATGAAACTGGATCTACACCAAACTTGATGCCTTCTCTCTAAAAAAAAAAAAAAACCACCGTCTCGATAGAACATACTTGAGATGTCTCAGAACGTGGAATAATCTTATCAACACCAACTGAGAAGCCCCCAGACCATCTGCACTTGCTTGCTTTTCCCCCCTCCCTAACCTTCTGTCAAGATACACCCCCTTGGTGTCCTTGTCACTAATGCCTTTGTTAATTTCTACACCTTCGGGCCTTTGCTATACCCACCCACAGTCTCTCCTTTTTACAATGCTAATTTGCCTTGCCTTTCTATTTTCCTTATTACTTTTTTATGTAACCTTCTGAGCAGGGACTAGACTATATTGCTTCTATACTCTGCAAAGTAATTGCAATACCCCTTGGCATCAGATAGAGAAACGACCCAACAAATTAAATCTAGCTCCCTGCTCCAAAGCTTCCCGGAGAGATAGGCTAACCTTCTGAAGAGTTATAAACATATTGGCAGCATGAGCATCCAAAGCGAGGAAAGGTATCACTTGAGATAGCTAGGCTTTTATTAGAGACCCAAATTTCATTCAAAAGAAAAAGAAAAAAACACTCTATCCCTTGTAGACTCCAGAGATAATTTTGACGGAGGAATAGGTCAAGCATTAAAAAAACGCATACATGGAAAGCAGCCCAAATCTCTCACATTCAATTCACTCACACTGCCATATCATTTCTGCCCATTCATCCTTCTCAGACTGATTCGACTTTTGGGACTTGCATTAATTTCAGGATAAGTAGCGTGTTAAGCATAATCGCGGCAATATTTTGCCATCAAGAAATATATTAAGAGCCTCTGCCAATTACTTAATCTGCATCTCTGTATAATGTGTGTACTAACAAGCAATTCTCGGCTGCATTTTGAGCTATAGCCCTCTGTGGCAATGCAGTTTCTAGCCCCTGTCCCCTCCAGAGAGAAAGAGAGTGAGAGAGTGGCCCCCTAAAACACTTGTGAATGCAAACACTGGTTGTAAATTATCCACATAACCTTGGTATGAGAGAACTTGCTTTAAGTCAGCATTTAATGATGTGTAGCCGGGCGTGGACACGACCCGTCTCATTTTCCCAGCTTAGTTTTTCAGTACAAAGTAGCGACCTTGCATTTGAAACCATTCCTCTCACGAGTGAATTCCCCAAGGAAAGAAGGGGGCCCTTGCGTGGCAGTCCTGAGGCAGGAGATGGGGAGGGAGAACTTGGCAGCCAGAGCCATCTAGGCTGCCTTAGCAGAGGCTTTGGGACAAGGAACCGGAAATGAAGCACAGGCTTCTGAGAGAATGTCCTTATCGCTTTGGTTACTCACCAGCCCAAATCCCACTCCAGCTGGGGCTCTGCAGGACTAGCCCCACAGGAAAGCTGATGCAGATAGATGGGAAATGGGAGTATAAGTAGTAGACTTATGACAATTCATTTACTGGCACTTCAAAGTTATAGTGACCCTGAAAAATGTGACTTACGACAGTTTTTTACAGTTATGACCTTGGCAGCATCCCCATGATCACGGGATCAGAATTCAGATGTGTGGCAACCGGTTCATATTTATGACCGTTGCTGTGTCCCAAGGTCATGTAAACCACCTTTTGCGACCTTCTGACCAGCAAAGTCAATGGGGAAGCCAGATTCATTTAACAACCGAAATGTTGGGTTCCACTGCGGTTGTAAGTCGACTACCTGTATACTACCTGTATAGCAACAACCAATGTTTAACAGACTATCAGGAAAACAAAATGGATCTTCTCCAATGGGCAACTATCAGATCAGAACTAGACCCCTCCTCGGATAGAACCTAACTCAGCTCTGACAGAAAGGAGTAGAGGAAGCTCAGGGAGAATGCTTTGCTTGCTTTAGGACTGAGGACTCATTTCTGACCTTAACAATAACTAATTGGGTACAGTAGTGGGGCAGTGTGTGTGTGTGTGACTCCCAAAGGATTTTGTCTTTGAAACAGATCTACCTATTGTGATCTCCTCTTTGAACAGGCCACCGGAGTCCATGATGCATGAAGAGAGCTACATAAGCAAAAGGCAGTCCTGGCCCTAAAGAGCTTATTATCTAAATTTAGACACTGTGGCTTGATGATGAGGGAGGCAGGCAGGCAGTGGCAGAAGATTCATGGAATGAATTAAGCGCATCCCAGTCTGCAATCCCGCATCACTCACTCAGGAATAAAACCTCACTGAACTTGGGAATGGTGCTTCCTCCCAAGTAGACACACTATCCTTTCTGTTATGGATAAGGTGGTTAGAAAGGTGGTGTCAGCTGCTAGCTCTGTGAAGCCTTTGACTAAAACCAGCTGTTTGGGGCTGAGCAGAGTTAAGTGGGCAGAAGCTTGATCAGATCCGTGTACTCAACCATATATAGCATGAGGCTTTACTGTTAAATAACGACCCCATGAGCGCCCTTGTCTCACACCAGATAGAAATCATGCTTGCTTGTAAATTTGTGGCACAAAACCATTTTAAGACACTGCCAGTTGAGGCAGCATTTTTAATAAATGCTATTTGCATGACCTTTTATCTTAATTACTCCTGTATGATGATTATACTTTTTATAAAATAATCAAAAGAGAATGCCTTATTGAGAAATTTGATTATTACAAGGTAAGGAGATTAGATACCAAAACTCTACTTAGGGCTGTGCAGTTTCCCAAATCAATTATGCGCTGCTCCCTTGTCTCAACACTTTCTGTTCCCAAAGGGAGAGAAGGGGATGTTACGGAGACAATGGCATCCACACACCAAACCCACTAATGCTAAAGCAACATAAGGACAAGGATGTCACTATGCAAATACCACGACATATTTATATTAGTCTATTACAGGTACATAAGTTTCTGTAATTGCCCGATGATGTCAACACACATGTATCATTTCCCCCCTCCCCTTCCCCAGGAGAGAAAGATCTGGAAATCAACATCTCTCTAAAGCTACATGTGGCATTGTGCTAAACAGCTATGACTGGGAATTTTGGAACATGGCAGTGAATATGGGCTGAGTCAGAGAAATGAGCCAAAACTCCTGACAGCCCACCTCCTCCTTGTAATAAGTCAATCCATTTCTCTGAGTGTTTTGTTTCAAAACAGTGTATCAGGGGGTAATTGAGCTAAACCACCAGTAACACAACGAGAGCCAATTTGGTCTAATAGTTAAGGTGCTGGCCTAGGAACTAGGAGACCTAGTTCTTGTCCCACCTTAGGCATGAAAGCCAGCTTGGTGACTTTGGGCCAGTCACTCTCTCTCAGGCCAAACCATTTCACAGGGTTTCTTGTTATAAAGGAAACAAGAGGAGGAAGGAACATTAGATATATTTTCTGCCTTTGAGTTACTTGTAAATAATAATAAAGGCAGGATAAAAATCAAATAACAGATAAATAATACTATTTCCACATATACCAGCATGCATTCAGTCATGTGGAAAAAAACAACAACTTTGAGTTCTATGGTTTTACATATCAGGACATAGTAAAAATCACCTGGTCCTTAGCCCATTATACCATGTTCATTAAGATGAACATGGTATAATGTGTCATGTGTTGTTGTTCATCTGAGGTTGTATTTGCCTTCTTTTAAGAACTGCTAAGGACTGGATGGTTTTTACTATGTCTTTATATGTAAAACCTTAAGGGAATGTACTTTCATTTTCACATGACTTAGGTAAGCACCATGCAAGAGATGAATAAACAGAGACAGAGACTCCATTCACCCAGTGCTTTTTCTCCCTCGTCCATTACCTTCAGATCATACTTTCGGTGTATAGTGAGTCTGTGACTAAACATGTTCCTCATGACCAGCATGTAGCTCTCCTCGTTGTCAACACTGAGCCGATACATGCCCAAGAATTGGGGCAAGAGGGTACTCCCATGACATTTCACAATGTACTGAAAGAAAACAGTGACAAAAACATTGTAAAATGTTGTGCCAACTCTCAAGGAGCCTAATACTGGTGGAGGCAGTCAAAGGTTCAGGCATATTCTGTGTGGTACCAGATCCTGTCAGAAAGCAAATGGTTGCTGATCTCAGAATAAAGCCCATGCCTGACAGAAATCCAGTTTCCAAACACTCGTGCCCCTTGGTACATACAATAAGTGCTAAAAAGGCAATAATACACATTATTATTAATAAAGAATGAACTAATGGAGATTCCCGGCAAATTTCAGATTCTAATTTTGAACACAAGTTATGAAAGATGGAAATGCATAATTCGCATCTTTGAGGATAATCAGACATTACTGAACGAAGCAGCTCTCTGGCTACAATCTCCAAAGAACAAATGCACCACCTAGTGGGGGATCGTACATTTTTAATCACTGTTTCTCCGGAGAGTAGACTAAATATCATTAATCTTTTTGTTTTTCTAAATGTCAAGCTTCAGAGCTTTCTGTTGAAAAATACATTTCTTGCTCCCAAGGCGTGAAGCAAAGCTAGAACACAAGTGTCTGTTCCTAATCAAATCTCAGGAATAAACAAGGAATTCTTTAGACTGTGACTGGGCTTCAGTCTTTGCTGTTCCATGAACAGCAGAAAAAATGTATGCACAGATCTGCAGTTGCCTACATTTACATTTGAGTCTGATGAGCTCAAAAACTAAGCTTCTTTTTAAAACACGTTTTTGCTGTTCTAGGGTGCATCCATAAAGAAATTCAGACAAAAAGTGCCCCTTTTCTCTTCTACTCCTGAAACTAGGAGGGTTTTATATTTAGTTAATACCAGAGACCACCTGGAAATCTCAATCTCAGACTAAGAAGTCAGGAATAAAAACCCTGGAATAACAAATAATATTATAATCATCCAGGGTTTTTATTCTTGATGTTTGCCCTGTAAAGCCAGACTGGACTTAAAAGAGAGGTTTTACCCTTTTTACCAAGACCCCATTGCCCCTACAGCTACCTCACCCTTGTTAGCAAACAATTTTTTGGAGGGTGAGGCTTTTTTTTTTACCAATGTATTTTGCGGGAAAAGAGGAGATCAGAAGGGAAATTTCCCTTCTGTAACCATCTTCCAGTTAACCAATCTTTGGATTCAAATCAAATAAACTTTCATCTAGCTATAATCCCCCCTGAAGCCATTATGTCTGCAATTTGTCTTACCTGATGATAATGTGATAGAAGGCTATGCACATCAGCTACGTCTTCACTGGTTATCTCTTTTATGACCACCGTCCTGTCATAGGACAAGAGAAAGCGACCCCCACCCTCAGTCTCATAGGTTGGTGGGCTACGTGTTAGGGAGACCTGTAAAAAAGAATAAACAAAGCAAAGAAATGTTCAAGAGAATTATGAAAACTTCTGAAGGAATCTTCCACGTGCAGATCAGGTAGAAGAGGCTTCACCTAAGCAAGGTCTCAGAATCCTCCTAAAGTGTTCCATTCCTTCTGACAATGCTCCTTCAATCAGCCACCTTCAAGTGGTTTCCTGCCTAGGCAAGGGGTTGGACTAGAAGACCTCCAAGGTCCCTTCCAACTCTGTTATTCTGTTCTATTTCAGATCCCAGTGGGGCACCATATGAGGGATCTTTGACCACTCTCATCCAGCTTGAGTCACTCTATGATGTGAGAAGCTTGACTAAGAACTATGGAACAAGGTAGGCACACTGAAAACAACACATCAGTTTCCATGTTAGAATTCCAATTACTCATGTGTTCAGGCAGCTTCCAAAACAAAAGATCACAAAGGGGGAAGGAACAGAAAGAGAAACAGAAAGAACTACAAGTCACACTTATAAAATTACAGTATGAGGAGTGGCTTATTGTGCTTTTCTACCAGAAGGCACAAAGAGACATAGCTGTGCCTGCTCCAGCTTCAAAGAATACCTCCAAAATACTCCTGACAGCTCTCTCTCTCCTCCCTCTCTCTCCCCCCCCCCGTGTGTGTGTGTGTGTGTCTGTAAGAACATAGTTAGAAGCAAGCCTGGCCTCGGGCTTCCTTTTCCACATTTCTCTTTAGCCCATTCTCTGATCTGTAGCTGTTATATAAGTACTCGACGCATACAACCTCTCGTGTGGCAACATACCATTTCTAAGCTACTGCACTTCTGGCCTTTTTTCAACATCAATATTTTGATACTTTGGAAGGAGTTCAAGGAGTTTCAGATATAATCATTTTCCCTACCTTTCCCTTAACCTTATATGATGGGTCACCATCACTGTTTTTACAGAGCAGGTGGGGGAATAAGACTAAGCGTATGTCATGAGTAAAGCGGGTCTTGCTAGTAATCCAGGACAAAGGCAACATTTCATCTGGAGCTCCTAGCCCCTCTGCTACCCTGAACCCACTTCTACTAAATGGAAGAAACAACTAGTATGATGGCATCTGCAAGAGTAATATGGATTATGTATGTAGACAAGCATATCTAGAAACACAGACACTAATACAGTTACTGAATACAAAAATCCACTGGTTTAACATTAACATTAGTTTTGCTCAGGAGAACAGATTTGAATTAGTCTCTTCTGGGTTCCCAAACTGAAGCAAAAGTAACCTTATAAAAGAATTGTAACTGTATGTTCTAGTAACATAGCCTATAATTTCTCAATTTAATTATTAGAGGAATATGTAGTACAGTTAGTTCTCGACTTAGGATCACAATTGAGCCCAAAATTTCTGTTATTAAGTTAGACATTTATTGAGTTTTGTACCATTTTACGACCTCTCTTGCAACAGATGTTAAGTGAATCATTGCAGGTGTTAAAATTAGTAACACAACTCTTAAGTGAATCTAGCTTCCCCATTGACTTTGCTTGACAGAAGATTGCAAAATGTGATCACATGACCCTGGAACACTGCAGATGTCATAAATATGAGTCAGCTGCCAAGCCTTCTCGTTGGCTGCTCCGACCCTCTGGAACGAACTCCCCGTGGAGATTCGTACCCTCACCACCCTCCAGACCTTCCGCAATGCCCTTAAAAGCTGGCTGTTCCAACAGGCCTGGGGCTAACGACTTGTAACCCCACTCGAATGGTGTGACTGTTGTGTTTTTAACGGTGTATGACTCTATGTTTTGTAACTTGTCTGTCTTCCCCCCCCCTTCAATTGTGAGCCGCCATGAGTCCCCTCAGGGAAAAGGGCGGCATACAAATAAAGTATAAAATAAATAAATAAATAAATAAATAAATAAATAATAAGTATCTGAATTTTGATTCCATGACCGTGGGGATGCTGTAACAGTCATAAGTGTGAAAAATGGTCATAAGTCACTTTTTTCAGTGCTGTTGTAACTTTGAATGGTCACTACATGAACTGTTGTAAGTTGAGGACTATCTGTAATACACTACACAATTTGTTTAATTTCAAACATGATTTATTAACACTGGGCTTGTTTCTGTAAAGTCAGTAAATGCATTAAAGAGCTAAATCAACCAATCTACATAAAATCAAACTAGTTCTACTAGATTAACAAAACATCTGGCTACAGCTGGAAAAACCCGGGACCCTCAGGTCTTTTAGGTATTCGAACTCTTTGGGATAAGGTGGTATTTACTTACTTGATAATCCTGATCATCAATGTTGAAGCGTTCACGGAGGTTGCGGAAAACCTGTGGACAGTACTCCTTAAATTTGAAGTGACCAGGCAAGTTTTCCCTGCAGGAATATAAGTAAGTAACATAGTTAGCTGCCAAGCCAAAGTTTAGTCTGCAAATAGAGCATAACAAGGCAGACAAGAGGCCTGATATACTTTAGAGGAGCAGAAAATGAATGGAATGTTTTTATTTCACTCCTTAAATAAAAACACAGCTCATCTGGCCCAACCTGCTCTCCATTGTAGTGATTCATATATGGAGAAAAAAAATATGTTTGTTTTCTCCATCCTGCATCCTGAAATGCTACAGGCCATTTCATCACCTCCACGTCTGGCATTCAGGCGTACCCATTTCTGCTACGGAACGAACAAGCTCACTTTTGGAAGAACACTGCATTATATCTCATTTGTGTGAATACAAAGGCCCTACTGTTTTTTTTTATCAGAAGAGGAGCCTTTTTGACAAGTGAACAAGGCTTTAACAGGAATAGCTGCCAATTACAGTTTAGAAATCTCAGTAATCTATGGCCTGTGCTCCATAATCCTCTCACCAACAGCCTCTTCTAGCACACAGTGTAATCCTCCATTATGAGGGTTGGTTACACTACTGTTCAGGCAGAAGAATCTTCTTTTAATGTAAAGCATTAGGTATCTGACAGAAAAAGGCAAGCTCTCAGCTTGTACTACCAAATAATAACATACTTTTACATAAAGACAGATTCAAGCAATGTAATATTAGGATTTTCTAAAATGGTATTTTAAAAGATAAACTAAATCATATGTATATATGTGTGTATACACACACACATACACACACAGAGTAAAAACTATGTCCCAATCAAATTATGTGAGAGCCAGTTTGACGTAAAACAGGAGGCTAAAAACTGGGAGACAATGAGTTCTTGTCTCGCCTTAAGCATGAAGCCAGTTGGGTAACTTTAGGTAGGTAATTCTCTCTCAGGTCTAGGAAAGAGGCAAACCGTTTCCAAAAATCTTGTCAAGAAAATTGAAAAGAATTGTCAAGGCAGTCACTAGGAATCACGCAAGGGGGAAGAACAAGAAAAAAGAAATTATGTAAATAGTTCACAATTCAAACATTTTGCAATTAAGTTACTGAAAAACAAATCATGCAAAGATATAGTAAGTTAAACTTATGTATTATGCATTCCAATAACATTATGCATTATTGGAATGCATAGCCCAACCTTTCTAGCAAATTTTAATAAACTATACCCATCCATCCATCTGGATGACCTTGGCCCAGTCACTCTCTCTCAACCCAATTCATCTCAGAGGATTGTTGTAGGGAAAATAGGAGGAGGAGGAGGAGAGGTATATTCCCTATCTTGAGTTAGAAAACTAATAAAGGAGGGATATAAATAAATAAAGTACAATATTCAAACACTATCTCATAATCCCAAGAAGCAAAATATTTTACTTTGTTTTATTTTTTTTAAAACAGAAACTGGCCCCTAAAGAGGAGAAAATAATGGACTATTAACATTTCCTGGAATTCAGTCATTTTAATTCCCTTTTCTCTCAGCAAATCCCTTTTCAGTCGAGTCACAAGTAAAACTATATTAAAGGACAGTAGAGGTTTGAGAAAATATAAAAGAAAGAAGCTCCATTGCAGCACGAAGGAATGGAAATGAGCAGAAGGAGATTTCAGTGAAGAAGGATCATAATCACTGTAGAAAAGCTAATATCATAATCTGGCTGGGAAAAAGAAAACGCTTAAGATTAGAAGCAGGAGTTATCTGAGCGAGGCTTTCTGCTAGACTGTAGGTGGTTTATATATTTAGTTATTGTAAATAAGGTAAACTATATAAATAGATTTATAAGGCTTAATCAATTTTAATCAATTGTAAGCCACCTGAAGTCACCTATGAGTTATATAAAGCTATATAAAGTTGTTTAATAATAATGTAATTTCTTTATAAAGGATAAAGAGATATACACACTCAGACCAATCAGAAAAGCATATCATATCTGCCAACTTTGACAGATTACAACTTCCAGGCTCTTCAACTAGCACAGCACTGGTCAGCACTAGAGAAAAATGGCTGCATTAGGAGAATCTTTCATCTTTTGAGAGAAGTTTGTACCTGGAGGTATATTATTTGGGAGTAATTGGGGCTATTAATCCTTCCCATCACGGTGATGTAGATGGACAATATTAGGCCGCATGACTTAGAACATTCCATGTAGGAAGCATGTGCATGTACTGTGCAAAACTCGCAATGCCAAGCTTAATCCCCTGGTTCTAATTACTAGACCTCATTTGAAAGAACTGGAATGAGCTTTGCCCCCAAAAAACTGCAGTGGACCTGCATTAGGCTGAAATTTGGATTAGGAAGGTCATGCATCTGTATCTCCAGCACTTTCCTCACCTGTTGAAGAGATGATTGTTCACCTTTACTTTAGAATTGGCTTTGAAGTCATCAGGGAGCAGCATCACTGGCTGGGGAACTTGATTGAGTTCATTGATCTAACATAAGAAAATGAAGGTAAAACCAGACAAGGTCACACCCAACATCCCACTACCAGATTCAGTTTCACTGAGACAATTCTGCAGTGCTAGCTGTAGTTTGGTCAAGGGCTTGAGAGAAAAGTCCCTGTGTTTTCAGCTCAGTATTTCTGCCTGCCAAGAAACTGCAGAACCTCCAAGGCTCGATTGTTTTCATTCTAGACTTCAAATAGGCATCTGAAGCAGCCCGTGACCAAGATCATCAATGATCTTTTGACCTGCGGCTGAAAGCAGCCTGTCACATCATTTTCACCCAGACACGAGTTTTGAAATTTATGTAACAGCCATGTGTTAATCCCTATTGAAACATGACTGTGTGAAAAAAGGAGCGGGACCAATGAGGAATTTTTCTATGGCAGAGAAAATGTATTGCTCTTAGAGATTATGCCAGGAAAATATGGAAAATGCACCAAAAGTGTAATTGCTATCAGAGATGGGCATATAAACCTCAGATCAGCATGACCACATTGAGAGGCACAAAACATGCTTGGCTACCTTTCTCTATAATTTCTGGTAGGAAAAATATGAATCAGAGAAGAATGGGACACAGAGAATTATAGTGATGAGGCTCCATTCTTCATATGTTCCATTTCTATTGCCTCAAGCAGCAGAGCCAGAGCCAGTTTAAACCAGACTTACAATGATATTATAACAGCTATGGTGAGCTCATATTGAACTATCCAGCATTTCTGTTTGGGAGGGGGGGGAACCTGCTTAGAATCACATTTCTCTCATAAAATGTACAAGTAGGATCCTTGACATATACTGGGCTGTAGTTGGCAAAGGGACATGTATATGTATATAGAGGTGTGTCTGTGTGTATGTATGTGTATGCATATATGTGTATATGTATGCATATACATACACACACAGTTTTTTATCATATAGTCCAGTACCCCAAATTTTGCATCCTACTCTCAGTTGATGTATATTTTAGAAAGTTTTATATTGTCTTCATCTGTTATTCTGCCTAATTGAAGGGTCTGCCATTAAAACAAAAGTTTTGCACAAAGACAATCCAAAGTGCAAAAACCAGATTATTCTTTTATTCTGCATACATTTAAGCAGCAAAATAGCAACACAATGGAATATTCTGATGGGCTGAAGGATATCTCTGAACAATCATATGGACTAGAGGAATAGCTTTAAAAAGTTGTTTAGGAAGTTGAACAAACAATGATATACATTTTGAGGATTTTCTCTCTGGCCCTGCAGAACTACAAGATGATGCAACTCTGCCTTTAAGCACAACTATAATGTAAACATTCATTAATAATTTCTCCACTGATGAAAAGCTTTCAAAATAGCATGCACTTATGAAAGATAATATTGCCATCACAAAAAAGACAAACTCGGAAATATTAAGTAACACCTGAATTGTACTTATGTGAGATCCTGTTATGGCCACAGAAGTTGACTTATTTATGACTTTATAGTTCAAAATCATAGCAGGAATTGAACATTCAAAAACAAATTAGAAGCAATTAATTCAAGCTTGATATGTGCATCAGATCCATTTATGACTGCGTTATGTATTATTTTGAATCAAACTACTTATTGCGCAATGTCTTGCAAATAGGACATTATTATGTATTAAATTACTGAACCTCAGCCTCCAAAAACATCACAGCAGCATATAGGTGGATGCTACCTAATGTTCTCGTACTAGACATTTACTGTAATAAAAGCTTTGTTTTCTTTTGTACTTCAGTCTTCCAAAACGAATGATATAAAGAGATGTCCCCATTTGACTTTAAATGAACCAGCTGTCCTCTTTGCAAATGTTTTGGAAAGATCAATATTGATGTCTATGTTGCAGGGATGGAGCATCTGCAGAAATTCCTTTTGGATAAAAATCTGCAAAATGTAATGTGCATGAGATAGAATGATCAGTGAGAAAATCTGGTAAATTTGAGTGAAGTAGTATTTTAATTTAGTTCACTGGTACTCCAAATGAAGCCTTTTGTATTAGGACAGTTACCAGCAAGCAACTCTTAATCTCTAACTTAGTTATCTGTCCGTGAATTAAAGCTATCACCTCAAACCAAGCAGAAAACCTATTTGCTCTTATGTTTTATTTGTTTATTTAATTTATATCCCACCTTTATTATTTTTACAAACAAGGTGGCAAGCATATTCTTCCTCATATTTTCCCCACAACCACCACCCACTGAGATAAGAGCCGAGGTGGCACAGTGGTTAGGGTGCAGTACTGCAGGCCACTTTAGCTGACTGTGATCTGCAGTTCAGCGGTTCAAATCTCACCGGCTCAAGGTCGACTCAGCCTTCCATCCTTCCGAGGTGGGTGAAATGAGGACCCGGACTGTGGGGGCAAGTTGCTGACTCAATTTGCTAAAAAATTTGTAAACTGCTTAGAGAGGGCTGAAAGCCCTATGAAGTGGTATATAAGTCTAATTAATAAATAAATAAATAAATAAATAAATAAATAAATAAATAAAAAATAAATAAATAAATAAGTTGGGCTGAAAGAGTGACTGGCCCAAGATCACCTAACTCATTTTAATGGCTAATGCTGGACTTGAACACCTGATCTCCCAGTTTCTAGCCTGGTGCCTCAACAATTAGACCAAACTGGCTCACCAAAAAGTTGTACTTCTCAAAATAATATTTCCAACAATTTCTATAGGCTAGACCAAGCATCTCTGATAAGATGTTGCTGTCATTATGGTAAGATATGATAATTTGGGGTTTTAAAAATATAAGGGACTGGGCCATTTTTAAAACTGCAAAATAATATATATTTTCGAGGCTTCCCACAGCTATTTTGCACTTTCAGCCAATATCTTTCCCAAAAACAAGACCGAACATTGCCTCACTGAGCATTATTTTTACTTTATTTCTATTCCACCTTTATTAGCATCTTCTCTCAAATTAGAACAGTGAAATGTGGGGGTGCTGTGAGGGCTTATACATACACAGGTTACTTCCCATTCCACAAATAAAATAAACAGGAGCAAAGGTCAAAAGTGTGTGGGGGGGGGGAATGGTCACAAATCACTTTTTCAGTGGCATTGTAACTTTGAATGGCCACTAAATGAACTGTTGTTAAGTCGAGGACTGCAAAGGTTGTTAGTGAGAGGAACCATGATAAGTCACTTTTTTCAATGCCATTGTAACTTTGAATGGTCACCAAACTTATAGTTGTAAGTCAAAGACTGCATGTAATTAGAAGCTAATATGGCCTATTTCTAGTTCTACCAGAGGCCTAGAAGGGCAAAGTACTATAGACTGATAGATTCTTGGTCTATAGGAATGAGACATTGCTGAAGGAATAAACTGTTTGGCAAAGCTGAAGTGCAAAGCTAATAAGAGCCAGGAATCTCTTACCTGTCAGCTCTTGGCTTCTACATCAAGTGAACTTTAATCTGTTTAATGCTATCTAATCTTGGTACTTGCCCGGTTATTCTAACAGACTTGATTGGTATCTGTAATGAAATGTTATTTGATGAGCTAAAGCTAGTTTTTATATGCTAATAACCAGTAACATTGGTATTACTCTCAACAGAATTCATGGTTTTAAGACAATTTCACATTTTCAAGTTGCATTTCTTAGATGGTTATGACATATACGCTGCTATTTTGCTCTTGTTAAAAAAGCATCCCCTAAAGAGAAAATGCCACACACTAGAGTCATGTATATTACAACTGCTTGCAAATAACTCATATGGAATCTGGATATATTGTTCGGTTTCCACCATATGACATTCAAGAATCTAAGCGAGCCAGCTAAGGAAGAAAGCAGAGAAGAACCTTTTGTGGACCAAAGCATCCGTATATTTCCCATCACAGCTTTCTTAATTAGGGGAAATATTTTCAGCTCTGAATGCTGCAAGAACCTCTCCCTTCTTAGAACTTTGAACTCACCTGTTGCAAAATATAGCTGTTGCATAGGAGCAGACATGAAGTCAAAAAGTAGTACTTTGCCACAGCTGGCAAACTCAGGTGATATGATGATATTCTGTCCTAGTTTCCTTTCCTTAATGGGAAAAAAATACCACCTCCTTTGTATAACTGCTATGAGTCAGAGAATGGATAAGGATTCTGTACCACTCTACATTTTGAAACATACACTGTTTATAGTGTTCTCAATGCAAAACAAGGTTCAGTTTTGTTATCTAAATGAGCCACCATTAGAAGCCGATCCCAAATGGAAACTATTTGGGCAGGGGTGTCAAACTCACATTGGCATGGCGGTGCTACGTGACATATCAGGACTTCCCCCCCCCTACCTAAACTGGGTGTGGGTGTGGTCAGCACATAACCGGAGTTTTGACAGCCCGGGTCTAAGGAAAAATAGCTGCCATTGAGTATAGAGGAAAACAGAGCACACAGGGTTAAAAAGTTATTCATACTGATCTAGAAACGTTCTAGCTAAGATGTACCAGAATATTTTCAGTCAGTTTAGGAAAAGATGCCAGGACAAAATCAGACTTTTTCAAATGCATTTTATTCAGCTTCTTTGGTAGTAAAATAAACCATGCATATTTTTAGGTAAAACTCAAACGCAGCAGTCAAACTCTGAAAGCACCAAAGAGCAAAATGGAAGGAAGCAAATGGCTTTTTGCCCATCAAGAAATTTAGCCTATAGCACCAAAAACAGCTTGCAACCCAGAAAAGCATGCAGTAAGGCTCACGTACCAGCTACCTCCTTAATTCTGGAATCTGAATTATGCTAGTGTTGCGTCATGAAGCTCATATGCTTTGGGTCATAAAACTGCTGGAATCAGAGGGGAAGGGATTAATGAAGCTTAGAAAGGGCAGACAATGGAATACAGCTTTGCCTCTCTGAGGCCTGCACAAACAAAAAGTGCAATCATTGGTAGGCAGAAATATATGTTCTGTTATCAGATGCCACAAGTTCCCTTCCCATTTCCAACCCATCACATGAGAAGCTGCCTTTTTTCAGAGTCTGAATGAGGACAGACGTCAAAAAGTATAAGGTTATTCATACAACCTTGGAATTTCAATGTTAACATTTTCTGCTGCCTTCTAGGTATTCTAGAATATATTAAAACATTGATAAAATCCATAAATATTACTATTGACGTCTTTAAAAAATCTGGGGCAATGGTCTCATGGGGAAATTCCCTGGTGTCAAGATTCTGTCAGAGATGGAAGAGGTATCGAAAAACTGGCACAGCAATTCTGCATTCAGCAGCCCTATCTAAATGTACTGGGTGAACCAGAACATCACATGAGCCAGTAATTTTTGCTTGCTCAGAGCATATTTATATGAACACACAATTGTGTTTTGTTCATCCAAGTCTAGGGGTTAAAATATCATATGAATCCAGACATGTATGAAGAAGTAATAAGAGCCCATACTCAGAACTATTCAATGGTTCCTTTCAATAGATAGGAACAATCTCCTCCCATATGAGTCAGGACTATGATTAAGCACTATGGCATTATTCAACTTACTAACAGGTAGAGAATTTTTCCCCCTCACCAGATTCTGAACCAAAGTAAATTAAAACATCTGTGCAAAATCTATTACATTTTTCAAACAATTTTATTATACAAATAGTTATACTTTTCCCACCATGCATATAAAAGTTTGCAGCAAGAACAGAGAAAATTATGCAAATATGTTGATGAGCATAAGACAGAACATAACCCTACTGAAGCCTTCACCAAGGCGATGCCAACAGGGATAACAACCCCATGTAATTTTTTAGTCCTGTCATAAAAACAATACAGTAAGAGGGCATCACAGTAGAATAAGCTATTCAAAGATCCTCATCATAGTAACAAGAGCTAACACCAGGTGTGGGGAGCAGAAGCAGAGGAAAGAAAAATAAGAAATCCCAAAGGTGCTTTTTCACCTTAGGATGACTCGACCATCTCCATATAAACACAAAAGAGAAAAGACAGTACACAAAATTACAAGTCAGGCAACACATGATGAAATTCATGGCATCCCATTTACTGAAGCAGTTTTGTGCCTTCTTCTGGGTGTTTTTAGACCCCCTCAGTCTAACTTTCAGCCCTGGAATTTCCTGGTGGTCTGCTCTCCCTATCTTGATTGAGATCTAGTCAAAAAATCTCTGGTGACCCACCCCAATTGATCTCACATCACTATCCCAGGGCATGTCTGTTTGCCTTCATCCTCCCTCTTATCTGCTCTTTCTGAAGCTTTCCAAAACCAACCACTGTCCCAATACATTAGGACAGAGGTCCCCAACTTGGCAACTTTAAGACGTGTGGACTTCAACTCCCAGAATTCTCCAGCCAGCATAGCAGCAGAGTTGAAGTCCACACGACTTAAAGTTGCCAGGTTTGGGGACCTCTGCATTAGGAATTCAAAGAATTAGGGGACGGGAGGATGACCCCCCCCCAAAAAAAAACAACCACCCCCCCAATACGTCCCAATGGGTACAGATCCGCCACTGGAAAGAGAAAGAGAAACCCAGCCGGTTGAAGAAGGTGCCAGGGAGAGGCTGGGTTTCTTTCACACGTGGGGGGGAACCAGCCTTCCTTCCATCGCAGCCACGGGATGCTGTGGAGGGAGGCGACCCAGCAAAAGAGGTGGGCTGCCCTATATTCTCCCACCACCACCACCGCCCAGCCCAGCCCAACAACAATCATCGGGCGAAGCCGATTTACCTGATGGTTGATCCCCCAAGCCAGCACGCCCAGAAGCGGGTCAGCCGAGCGGAGCACTTTCACCCGCTGCGGGACGAAGTGCTTCTTCTTGGTCTTCGTGCGCGTCCACGGACCCACCGAGGCGGCCATCCTCGCTGCTGCGAATCCCGCGCCGAGTGGCCGCCTGCCTGCCTGCCTACCCACGCGCCGGCCGCTCGGACTCAACGGCAGCCCGGAACGCCGGTAACGGAAGTAAAACGGTCAGCTGATTTCCCGCTGCACGTGACCACGAAGGGAGGCGGCAGTTAAGGTGCGTCACAAAGGAGCGGGGATGGAAATAGCTCCTTTGGATGTCCGTCTCGGGGCGTCCGTCTGTGGTGGCGGCGGCAAGCGTTAGGCCTTGCTAGTAAACGGTGGTTGCCTAATGTGTGACGCTCGGTATGGCGTAAACGCTCCCTGTATAGGATTGCGCGTCCCCCCCCCCCCTTTTGGTACTTTAACTCTATGCGGGGTGGGAAGCTAACATGGCGCTTGCAGGTACACGGTGAATGGAACTATCTGTAGAGCGGAGGTGGTGGGGAACTGTGGCTCTTTTGTGACCTGTGGACTTCAGCTCCCAGAATTCCTGCGCCAGCATGGGATTTCTGCCTCAGGAATTCTGGGAGTTGAAGTCCACAGGTCACAAAAGGGCCATAGATTCCCCCCCCCCCCCCCACTAGAGCACTGGTTCCCAACCTTTTTTTGGCCATTCTCCATCTAAGCATGTCTAAAATCCAGACGCCCTCCCCCCCCAACATATAATTCTTACTTTACTTAAAGAGCGAACCCTATTCACGCGGAGGAAGCCTAAAAGGCCATTAACCTGGTTTAAACAAGGTTCAAATTGCTCTCATTAAAAATCAGATTGCCCCCCTGTGGGAACGTTGGGAACCACTGATCTAGAGGAATGGGAAGGGTTGGAAAGGAAAAAAGGGTCGAGGGCAGCGTTTAAAAATTCAGCAGAACAGAGGAGGTAGTCATTACACTAGGCAGGAGTGTTACTTCATCAAGCCCTTAGTTAAGGAAATGTTTTTGGAGGGGGGGGGGAGAGACGGAGCCACAACGCCATAAATTCTAAGTAATAGAATAGACATAAACAGCCTTCGAGACAAGTTGACTTGACCTGCTGTTTTCTTGGCAAGTGTTTTTCGAACTGGTTTGCCTTGCCAGTTTAGGGCTGAGAGAGGGGGACTGGCCAAGGTGGCTTTGTTCCTCAAGTGGGAGTGGAACTCAATGGCCTTCCAGTTTCTACCCTGATGTCTTCACCATTACACCAAACTGGCCTGTCCATAATCAGAATAATTATAGTTCATTAAATATACAGACATATAACTGGACTAATCACTAAATTTGTTCATGTGGCAACTCAAAAAGACATAGAACTAAATTGTCATCTCTTTACGTATTGATGTGTATCTGTTAGGGAATGTTCCAGCTGTAGCATCTATCTGGGAAAGGTGATTGAGACACACCTGCCACAAACTAATTATCTGAACCCATTTCATTGGCATTTCGTTGACTTTGTAAATAACCTAAGTATAGACCCATACAAACAAAAAGGTTTTTTTTGGGGGGGGGTCCTCAATTTTTAGAAGTGGAGTCCTGAGAGAAACAAGTTTTAAAAAAATTAAACGCTGGGTTACAAAGCAGCCCTGTTTGTTCTTCTCCCCACCTCAATTTTATTAATGATTATATTATACAAGTTAAATTTTACACAACAACTGAAAAAATACATTAAAGATTTGAAAATTAAAAAATGAAGAAAACGAAAAACAGAAACCTACCTCTTCATCCTTAGCATTATAGTCAACATTGAGAACTTAAATAAAATGAAACCTAGAGTCCCTAGGGAGTGGGTGGCATACAAATGTCAATAAACCTTAAATCAATTTTTTTCATTCCATATCTCACCCGAGTTTCTGTAAACCCATGTCTAAAACTTCAACTCTCCATATTAGAAGTCCAGTAAGGGTTATCAGAAAAAGTATTATAAATTGTATTTATTACATCCAATCTAAATCCTTTCTTTTTTCAAATAATCATCCTTGAGTCCCACTCAAGAAACAAACATGATCAGAAATAACTATTATCCTCCACTTCTAATCAAGAAACCATTAAACATCCTCCCTCCAATAAAACCCATTATTTTAACATTGGTCAAATCTTGTATTCTTTCTGCAAACAATATTTAAACACTTCAAAGAAAGTTCTAACTTCTGTCTTCTCATGCTGTATTCTTCAGTAAAAAAAAATCTTTCCTTCGTCTTTATCAAGCCTTTTGATTTTCTTGAACTCTTCAAAGCTTTCAAAAAAATTCAAAACATTTTCAATTATTCCCATCTTTTTTGTTGAGCTGCAAGTGGAAGATAGGGCTAGAGCAGTGGTGGGTTTCAAAATTTTTTAGAACCTCTTCTGTAAGTGTGGCCT